AAATAGATAAAGCTGAACAGATCATACTTGAAATGATAATCACGAGTTGCGCCCAAAATGATTATAGTGATAAATATATATATTATCGTAAGATAAAAAAATACAAAAGACTGTCATGATAACGGACTCTTGACAAGTTTGATTAAAAGCCTGATATAAAGCACGTAAGACGATGTTACATAATTGTCAATATAACGGACAAAGCGCTGTACCGAGTAGTCTTTATATAGACTTTCTGTGTATTTGTCAGTAACTAGCGATGTTTAACATGCGCTTCGCAAAGTTCCGTGTTTACGTGATATTGTTGGAAAGTTTGTAATGGAGGTAGTATTTTGTTTATGGTTTAGTTTGCATGGTAGAAGCGTTTATACAAGGGCAACGGTAGCTTTGTTTGATTGTAAACAGTGTGCATCCAAAGCTTGTTCGATTGTGAATGTTAGTATGCGCGATCTGTTTATCTTTCTTAATATTCAACATCTTAACGTACTATATTTTAAAGCTGTTGGGTATTTAACATATTACTTTAATAAAAGCATCGTTTGCTAATTGCACTGATACACACATAGTCTAATTTCTTTGCTAAACGAACTTCATCTATATACCTTTCTACTATTTGCGCTGTTGTTTAAAAATGACCTAACATCAGCATTCTACATACAATTGTTTACAGCTCTTTTTCTAGCTTTTTAATTTCTTCTTCTATTTCTTCTGCCACCCGTACTTACAATCCAATATCACCCGCCGCCAATCAACGTCCGTTTTCATCATAAACATCAATAACACACCGTTGCTTTTTTTGTCTTTGTCCGTTCAATAGCTACCCGTTCTTAGATTTTCTCGGAGAACACAGCTGTGAAGCACTCGATTATTTCGCCGGATTCATAGCAGCCAGGCTTCACTAGCCACTTCTTTGTTTGACAACATTTCAATAACGAAGGGAAAACGGGGGGAGCCAGAATTCCTTCGGTATAACGAAAATTCGGTTTGACTGTACTATTATTGCCATTTGAGCAGATGTAACCCGTTCCGGTAAGTAAGTGTCAGTTAAATAACGTTGGGACATCCGAACGGCAGCAACCACGGCGTCGTCTCCCTATTAATTAATCGTGGTAAAAATCCTCAGCCACAAATTCTAATTATGGAGAGAGATTAACCAAATTTCATACCAATAGCCATGCATGGCGATATCTAAAGAAATTTAATTTAAATACCGCTATAACATTCTGCACACTTTTAATACATACCGCCTTTGGAAGTCCAGAAACTACCGTATTATATGAATACTGTATCTTCTCTATTGCATGAAAAAGCATTTATCAATATACCGTTAGGCTAAAAGACAAGGCAACGCCTTTACAGTACGTACAGGAAGATTATGTAACCCACTTACGTAAACGTTAGTGTCATTAACTATTACTTTCATCATGTTCCCAAAAAGTTGCGGCAAATATTTGCCCGCGCACGAAGCTGGCGAAGACCAATCAATATCTTAAATCTACGAATTGTACAATTACAATATGATTACGAAGTAATAGTAAAGACAATATCATCAATGTTACATCATATATCGCAGCTTAGCGGATATGTAATCATTATTATATATATTATCTCGTCATAGCTATGTTGTACCGCAGTTTCAGGACCGAGAGGACAGAATTGTCTCAATTGAGGGGCCAATATATACCCTTTATTATAAGAACTGCATTACCATGCCCAAATCGAAACCGAATATGTTTAAAACCAGTCAATACTATATATTATTCGTACGCTTTTTAATTGCATTTTAATGAATGAATCGTTTTGTGAGGATTTGAAGCAGAGTTTACACTATTCTTCCTAATCTTCGGCATTGGCCCAGGTTATGCAGTTTTTCAAATGTTATGTTTGATATATGATTTTCGTTATGAATGATACATGCGCAATGTCTTCGAAATAAAGTTCTGCGAATTACACGGACTTTTTATATGGTATGTATATTTAACGGTCACAACCGACAGTGTAGTCGTAATTTGTTACCTGTAATATTATTGTAAGATCCAAGTGTATAGAAACACTATAATATAAAGGCGTATACTAGTAGTAATACTACGAGTTAACGAAATTTAAGCGTGCAATTATTGTTGTTTCATTTATAAACGCTTTCCCATAATGGAACGAACACCATTCTCTTTTAGTTCTTCGTTTCTTATACCATCTTTTTAATAATTATTCGATTTGATTGTACCAAACCAGATTTCCAACATCCAATTGGCATGCTTTTACATTTGAATATGAATAATAATGTTTTTTTATGTTTGATCGCTCAGACAGCAATTGGTTGGTCTTCGCATATTTTGCATTATACCGCTTACGAAACTCTCACAATGCGTGATTGTTTTGAGTAGTTTGAATTGTTTAGTCAATATTCATAATATTCCTTTTATTATTAACCCAATTTGCATAATAAATATCATCAAGTCAAAATAGTTGGTTTGAAAATCTACCTATATCAAAAAGACGTTATTTTGACCATGAAAATTAAGCACGTCTTGTCGCGGCATATTACCAGTCATTGTTGTTCAAGTGTTTGAAGATCGTCACACGTATCACACATTTAATTTCCATCGTGATACGTTCTTTTACTTTTTTAATATTTCCAACCCCTGTAATCAAACAAAACCTTTAAGTAAATGTCAAATTTTCAATACGCATATTCGATTTTCTCTAGAGCATACCTGTTTTTCCAAAAATCTATTTACGGCATCTTTATTACCGTCAGGGAAGAGCAAAGCGAAATCAAAATTGGCATTTTTGACTTTACGAAGTACCATCAGTTCGCCCTGATGAGTATGAGATAACGGTAGGCATTGATTTAGAAACGCGCGAATTCCTAAATACAATATCATAACGACCCCTCAATCCAATGACATACCATAGAAGTTTTTATTGAATTTAGATACGCTGCCACAACCTTTGCCGAGGGTGGTTCACTACCTCCTATGCCCGTTAGCAGTCCTACCAATGTAATCACTTCACGTAATTCTAGCTGGGCGCCGTGTAACAATTGTCCAGTATGCGCATAAGCATGTGGAACATCAACTGCAATATCTCCTAAATTACCCATAATGATGGTAAACGCTTTCTTGCAATCTGCTGGAGATATTGCATCTTGCTTCCGTAGTTCTTTGAGAAGGTCAGCACAATTCGAAACATCGGCTGGTTTCTTGTCAAGCGCCGATTCAATGAACTCTCGGATTGCATCACCAAAATATCTGTCAGGAAGTTCTTTGATACATACGGCAACTTCCTGTAACAGAAAAAGTTTTGAGAACGTCTCTGTAGCAACATAAAGGTAATGAATTGTAGTAATAAACGAACCTTCTTGTCTCTCACTGACCAATATTCGTCAACCATGGCTTTGATCTTTCGCTTAGCTTCTTCCTGAGAGATTGATGAAGATTTCAAAGTATAACCTGATAGAACATTATAAGTATGAGTGCTGCTCATGCTAGACCCCTTCTCATTATGCTCTTTGATAGTTCGCCAGCCTTCCGAGCCACTTGCCAGTCTTGCAATTGGGTCATTACCCAGAGCGAGATTCACTTTGTTGCTGCGCACTTGTCCGAATCTTGTGAGATCCACTTTACGGGCCGATGAGGGGCCAACAGTCCAGTCTGACATTTGTTGCATGCCGTGTTGCATACCAACCTTGTCGCGGTCGTCACTCGTTCTGGACAATCTAGTACTGTTGCCGGACGCTTGCCCGAATCTTGATGAGGAACCCCATATGCCTGACCTTGGTTGTATATCTCCAATCGTCCTGGGTGCATTAGTATCATTATCATGGCGTGGTATCCAATTCCGCTTTCTGAGTTCAATTACGTCCTACAGAAAAACACAATTAATAGTTATTGGGACGTCAATAATACTTTTTTTAAAAGCCGTTGGCATAATTACCGTAAGCATAAACCTTATACGACTGCTGAGTTTTGTATTCTTGCTCATACTATCCATACGAATAAAGTAAGCGTTCATTTGACTCTTTGCTCTCAAATAATCCAGTTCTTTCCCAATTATCATAAGCAATTCACACAGAAATTCAGCTTCCTCTTCTTCTGGGTCTTCACGATTAGCTAATAATTTCTTTATACAGTCATGCATAATACGTTCCGTCAACATGTGCACTTTGAATAACTCTCCAATAAACCTAATCAAACCCAGTCCACGTCTTTTATCAGAAAACCGGTTAGGCATTCCCTTCTCATTATTGGGTATTTTCCAACCCTTTTCAAAGCTCTCCTGACACATGGTAAGTAGATATTTCCTGAACAATGCAGCACCGCGCACGCATTCGCCTTGTGCATTCTTAATAGTCTCATCAAAAATATCCATATCAATGCGCTCCAACATCTTCCGACAGAGTTGTGCATAAATCTGACTATAATTGGGTTCATCACAAGCTTTCTCAAAGGTCAGTTGAATAATTGTCTTTAATATTCTCCCACTACATTCTTCTTTTGATTTATTCGCCAACTCAATAATGTGATCGCCAGCTTTGGGAACCTCTCCAGGAACCGATTGAGATACCAATCTGTTGTCGGATCTCCCAAGAGGAGCAACCATTTCCATTGGTATTGTTAGTCCACCGACTTGTTGATGTCCGATTGCATCTAAGTGGGATAAATTTTCCGGTTTCTTTTTACACACAGTCATGAACTGCATCAAAAATGAACGTTGATATTTGTATTTTCCTGGTTGGGCATCTTGATTTAGTGTAGGATCGGGTGGCTTAATATGCGGCGGATAGGTGACAGCATTAAGGTCTTCTATTTTTCGTGCACTACCACATTCTTCTTTTGATTTAAGGTCATCACTCTTGTGGAGAGTAATCAATGTTTCCTTTGGTAAGGCTTTAAATTCATTTAATTTAAAGACAATCTCTGGCTGTGAAACCATAATCTGATTGCAATAATCCAAAAGCCTGTTTAAACGGGGCGCAGATGCAGCATACTTGTGAACCGTGAAGATATTCTGTTGAATCCATTCTTGTTGTTTGTCAATCAACCAAGTTTCAATTGCAGTGAGAAGATTAAACAACTCAAACTTGCCAGCTCCATCTATAAGACTGATCCAACCAATATTCTTGCATACGCTATATGACATTCGCCCCGTATAGATATATCTATGAATTGTCAATTGCAACAAATGTTAGAATTAGTTGATGATTGTGCATATGGCTTATTGTTATATTCCTCTCTTTGAAGTTTTTTACCTGAGCAAGATTTCGAAAACGTCAGGGGTCACATCTTCAAATGTCATGGCGGTCTTTTGAATCTCGTCAGGCGACTCTGCATTCCCCGTTAAGCTATTCTCAAGAAATTTGCTTCTCGTGCACAATACCAATGTGTGGGCAAAAAATATTTTGCTACTACTACTTTGTTCCGCTCCAACTTGGATTGAAATGTCTGTATATTTACGGCTTTCATACAAACTCTCATAGTCAACCGAAAGACCCGAAGACAAATCCACAAAATCGTCCATTTCTTCGTACAAAGACTGCATGATGAGACTTCGGTAATGCGACGATCATCTCCGGATGACGCAATCGAAATCCAGTAACACAAAACGATACTACTGCGCTTACTGCAGTACTGAAAAATAATCTGTATTAAATTCTGACAAACATTGACAATGCTAATCAAACTGAAAGCTTTTACTTATATTTTTTGAAGCCTCTCGCCTTGCGTTGCACGGGATGCGGATTAGAATCCGTACTAAAGGTTAATATTAACAACATTTCTGATGCAATTAGTCCAAACCGACTTCTTTTCATTGCTTTACATTGTCGATAAAGAAATGTATTAAAATTTATATTTTTCTCAAACCACTTGGTAGTTTTTATCGTAATCTTATGATTACATTGTACAATGATAGGACGTGAGAGAAAGATCGAAATATAAAGAAAGCTATTTTAGACGCTTTGTGCTATGTTCCGAATTAGGTGTTTGTATAACAGCACTTGTTAACAGTATGTCTACACTAATGTGACTACCATATCAGGGAAAGCGAAGACATGCGGGCTTTAAAATTTTGCTACTACGAGTTAAGTATCGTATCGGTTTTTGACGAAATTAGTTCAAGCCTATCGGTTGGTATAATTTTACTATTCTATCTACTAAAAAAGTGCCTTTAATTTCGCCTGACAAGTTCTTTGTTTGGGTTAATAAAAATAATATTTATATTTATTACTTATTTTAGTGCAAAAATAAGAATACAATTGTGAAAATGTTCCGTATTTCTAATCACCTGTGACAATCAAATTTTTGAGTAAATAAGAAAATATTTGCGTAACTATTCATGTCAAAACTTTCTACGTGTATATTGCATTGCGGAGCATTTGAAAACCAATTATTCGTTTTGTTCAAATTTATCTGTTCGTATGTTAGAAGGCGCAAACACACTCTCCTCACCGGTTCGATTTACAACATTTGTGTTATCTAAGAAATTAGTAACGCAATTTGTTAAAGTTAATCATAATGATTTGTACAAGTCAACTTGTAATAATTCCTGGACAACTACTTCACCTCTTCAGCATATCCAATACATTTTTATATTTTAGAACTAGTAATGATAATTCAATCGAATGGACGTAAAATGTTAATTATTGTAATGGACTATTGTGACAGTGAAACTTATGGTCGTTAGAGTTTCTTTACAATGGCTGGAGTATTAGCAAATAACGACATGGTTGAATTAAAAATCTCATCTCTCAAGTTAATGTCAACCCCTTAATTGTGTTACATTTGCACGCAAATCGATCGGTCTCTTATCATTACGTCTTAGAATGCATATTATACCATAGGATAAGTTTGCGTGCTTAATCACTTTTTTGGAGTCTGATAAGATGTACTGTTTCTCGATAATGATAATATTGCTGTATTCAAAAAAGCAAGGTCGCTGGTTATGGTTAACTAAATACACACTACTTTCTCACCCTACTATCTTGCTCAAGGTCTTGGTGACAGAAATTAGTTAAAGGCACAGAGCAGGTAGTACAATGACTGTACTTCAATCATATTGCTTTTCTGTATTAACATGTCTTGCTAATTTGGAGATCTCAAAGAGGGGGTGCTGACAAAATACGGGATTCAAGCTGGTCATATTCCACCTTCACTATTTATGAAAAAGAAATTCACAAAATTGAGCCTTTGCATTAAGGACATACGACACAGGATAAGCAATATGGGAACGGGTTGTCGGAAGCAAGGAAGCAATGCATTGTCCATGCATGTATCGCTCTTGTCAAAACATTACCGGAAAGGAAAAGAAAAGAATCTACAGATCGTGTGTGGGTTATGTAACCACGGCGGCGCTCATATCAAATCGCCCATTGCGTGTTTTTCTTTGTTTATTTTTATTTGGTTCTTTTTTATTGCTCAAGGCGGTAATCTTACGGCTATGTTGCTAATTCCACACTAACTGTTTTATCCAACAGAATATATGCAATGCGAAAGTGCTCGCCTGACTAATGGGCAAAACGAAAAGCTGATGTTACCTTCGGGGAAGAATATGTTTACGGAATAATCACTACGGCTACGGAATGTTGCTTCAGAAGGAATTTCATGTACAAGTGACGTAAATACCATATTAGTCTCACCGAGGATATTGTTAAGGTAAAAAATGAAGCCAATTTACGCAAAAAATTAAACGGGGGAATGGAGTCATTGTTGGGTTACTGAAGGATAG